AGCGAGGATGGTCTCGATCTCCTGACCTTGTGATCTGCCCACCTCGGCCTCCCAAAGTGCTGTGATTACAGGCGTGAGCCACCGCGCCCGGCCTAAGATATTCTTTAGAATTTTCTACAAACATTATCAAGTCATCCACAAATAAATACAGTATATTGATTTTGTATCATATGAAATTAGTAAATGATTTATTTGTTCTGGTAGCTTTTAAAAATGCATATTCTTTAAGATTTTCTGCATGTATTATCATGTCTGTAAGCAAAACCAATTTTCTTCCTTTCCAATTTGGATTCCTTTAATTTGTGCCTTTATCAGAAACTTAGTAAAAACTTGAATAGGAGTAGTGAAAAAAGAAATATTCACTGTATTCCTTATGTTATGCGGAAAGCACTCAATCTTTCACTGTAAAGATATTAGCTACAAGTTTTTCCCATATCCCTGTACCACTTAGAGAACATTAGCTTCTATTCCACATTAAAAAAAAAAGTTTTTATCATGAATAAGTGCTTCCTTTTGTCAAATGTTTTCTGAATCTATTGAGATAATTATGTATTGTGCCCCCCCTTTATTCTATCAATACTTGTATTATATTGATTAGCTTTTATATGTTAAACTAACTTCGTATTCCTGAGGTAAATCTCACTTGGTCTTCAATTATAATCATTTTTACATACTGCTGAAATCAGATTGCTAATTTTTTGAGGATTTTTACATTTATGTTCAGGAGGGATATCGATGTATATTATTTTTTATTTGTTTTAGTGTCTTTGTGGGGATTTTGTATCAGAGTTATACTGACCTTACGAAGTGAGTCGGAAGTGTTTTCTCCTTCTCTATTTTCTGGAACAGTTTGAGTATGATTGGTATTTATATTTACTCTTTAAATATTTGGTAGAATTCACCAGTAAAGCCATTTACACCCGGTCTTCTCTTTCCAAAGAGATTTTTACATTAAAGAGTCAATATATTTACTTCCGATAGGTCTATTCATATTTTCTATAAATCAGTTCTTGAGTCAGTTTCAGTAATTGATGGTTTTCTAGGAATTTTTTTTCCATTTAATATATGTTGTCATATTTTTGTCAAAAAGATGTCTCAATATTTTCTTAACATATTTTAAGGTATGTGTAATGATGACCCTTCTTTCATCCCTGAAAGTGGTAAGTTGATATCCTCTCTGTTATCGACTGAATGTCAGTGTTCCCCTAAAGTTCCCTTGTTGAAATCTCATCCTCAGCGCAATGGTATTTAGAAGTAGGATCTTTGAAAGATAATTAGGCCATGAGGGTAGAGCCCTCATAAATGGAATAAGTGCCCTTATAAGAATAGGGCAGAGAAGTGTGTAGCTCTTATTTCACCAGCAAATATAGGGAGAAGTTGGCCGTCTTCAACCCAGAAGAGAGTTCTCACAGCACCTGCTGGGACTCTGATAGTGGACTTGCAGCCTCCACAACTGTGAGAAATACGCGCCTGTTTTAAAGCCAACCAGTCTATAGTACCATGTTGTAGCAGTTTAAACTGACTAAAATATTCCTTTTTTTCATAATCAGTCTAGGTAAAGTTTTATCATTTTAAAAACCATTTTTCAAAGTCAATGCTTGGTTTTATTAATTTTCTCTATTTTGTGTTCTATTTTATTTTCACTCTGTTCTTTTATTAAATACTCTTGATACTCTGTTTGGATATAATTTGTTCTTCCATTTCTAGTTTCTTAATATAGAGCTTAGATTATTTATTTGAGACCTTTCTTTGTGTGTGTACATGTGTGTGTGTGTAAAGCTATAAATATCCTTCTGAACATTGCTTCAGCTACAAACCATAATTTTATGTTGTTTTAGTTTCATTCAGTTAAAATTCCTTTCTAATTTTCTCTTTGGTATCTTCATTTATCTTTTTCTTACTTAGAAATGAGTTGCGTTATTTCCAAAACTTTGGAAATTCCCAAATTTGTTTTCTCTTGTTGATTTCAAATGTATTCCATTTTGTTTAGAGAACATACTTTGCATGATTCCAATTCTTTCAAATTTATTTATAATTTTTTTGTAGAACATCATATGGTTTATCTTACCCAAAGTTACAGCAGTTTTTCATAAATAAACATTTCTGAATGTGTTGCTTTGATTTAGAAAATTTCCAGAGCTCTGAAATGATTGTTTTTGACAATTTATTTAGTTCCCACTTGCTTTGGGGGGAGAGGGTTTGCCTGTCTTATTACTCTGCAACAGCCAGAAGTCCAACCTCAATTAAATTATGTAATTTAAAATTTTATAGGGTCTTGATGTTTGACTGGCATTTGATTTTTCCCGATAGGTGGTAAGCTCTTTAGATTCATATTCATCTTTGTGTTTTACATGGCACCTATCACAGAGTTCGCAAATTCCTTAACTTCAGTGATTGGCTTTCAAATGCACTTTTCCATTAGAAAACTCATTGAATGACTGAACAGATTCATAAAAAATGGCAATTTTAAAAAGATCTCATATTGTCATTCTTTCTTTCATTGATCAAAAAAGGAATCTCCACCATTTTAACATTCATTGATTAGAAAGTAATAATTTGTTAAGAGGTTTATCAAAACACTTGTTTTAATGCTAGGAAACTGTTGAGTGAAGATCAGCATAGCAATCTCAGTATGCACTGCATCAAGTTTAAAGGGATATTACCAATTTCTGCTGGGAGCATTTTAACAACAGGCAATAGCTTTAACAGTAGCGAATTTAAATCTGATACTACTTTTTACAGTATATGTTTTAGGATAATGGTTCATAAAGCACAGAGCCTAGAGGACCAATTTCCAAGCCAAAGTGGGAGGTGGGGCTCACTAGGGCTGTATTATTGTTTACTTTTATATTTGAGTCTGAGTTATTACTTTCAGATGTTTGTAAGAGCCACCTTTGCTTCTCTCACTCAGGCTATTTATAAAAGTTTCCCTGTACAGTTTTATCTAATCTCCAGTAACATATATGCTGAATTCTTTAATCTTTTTGACTTTTTCATGATAAAAAGTCACACACTTTAATTCCATTTTCAGCAAAAAAATAATTCAATTAAAGTTGTATACAAAAATTATTCAGAGAAAAGTATTCAGATAAAAATTGCCTTTAATTTTAACCTCAGTTTCCCTAATGACACTGGTTAAAATAAAATAGAAGAAAATAAAATAGGGTGAAATCAAGCTAATTAAGTACATACGTAAATAAAATCATGACTGTTCTTGAGACTGTTGGTCAGATAGCAGATCTACTGGTCTCACAGTTAGTAACCATGCTCCTTAGGGTGACAGAATGGAAACAGTCCCTCATTTAGTCTAGCCAAAATTTCCATAGTAAATTAATTTGCAGACTTTCTTTGTAAAATAGTGTTGGAGAATGTATGAGTGACCTTATATAAGTCCATTATATTTTATTATGTTTATAGAAACAACAAAGATGTAATAGAAAACAAAGATAAAAGCAGAGGACTTGTTACTTTTAAAATAATATTGGCTGGGTGTGGTGGCTCGCACATCTGTTAGCTCAACACTTTGGGAGGCCAGGAGTTTGACATTAGCCTGAACAACATAGTGAGATCCCATATCTATTGAAAAAAAATTAGCTTTGCCTAGTAGTGCATGCCTGTTGTCCTAACTGCTGGAGAGGCTGAGGCAGATGGGATTGCTCAAGCCCAGAATTTGGAGATTGCAGAGAGCCATGATTGCACCACTGCACTGCAGCCTGGATGACGCGGCAAGACCCTGTCTCTAAAATAAATAAGCCTGGCACTGTGGCTCACATCTGTAATCCCAGCACTTTGGGAGGCCAAGGCGGGTCAATCAACTGAGGTCAGGAGTTCAAGAGCAGTCTGGCCAAAATGGCTAAATCTCGTCTCTACTAAAAATACAAAAATTAGCCAGGTGTGGTGGAGCGCACCTGTAATCCCAGCTACTCTGGAGTCTGAGGCATAAGAATCACTTGCACCCGGGAGGTGGAGGCTGCAGTGAGCTAAGATTGCTCCACTGCACTCCAGGCCTGGGTGACAGAGCAAGACTGTCTCAAAAAAAAAAATATATATATATATATATATAAATATTTACTTATTTATTTATATTTAATTACCTAATTAATTAAATAAAATATTATTGATGAACATGATGTTATTAATTTCCATTTATAGTCTTGCTTATTAAAATTATTTAGAATAGTTTTCTTCACAATTCCCATTCCGCCCTTTGTTTTAAGGTAATGTAAACAATATCCTTACTTACATAGTTTTTAACTCGTATGTTGTTATCTGACTGGTTCTCCAGCTAATACCAATAGTTTTAAAACTATTTCTCTAATGTCTTCATCACACATGCCAGTTGTTACCATAATCCCAGAGATGCAGAGAATCAGCTGTAAATGGTAAGAATGGTCTTACAAAGTGATGATTTAAACTTTTCATAGCTTGGGGGGTTATTTCTCAAACCTCCACTCTATTCCTGGGATATGGCCTTCTTCTGCCTGTGATATCTTTGTACCAAATCACATTACTTCCATGGGCACATTTTTAAAAACCAGAGAGAAGTGCACAGATTCTGGTCGTCTTTTTCACCTCATTTCTTCCAAAACTATTGGTTCAAAATCTCTTCTCTGATTGTAGTTCTTGGGAGAAAATTTTCATCTTCCTTTACTAAATTCAACTCTCAATTTTTTTGTTTTGTTTTGTTTTTCCTTTTCAAAATAATGAAAACATCTACAAACATTTTCAAGTCACCATTTGTACCATTTGTGCATATGATAAAAATCCCCAGGTTTTTAAAAAGTTATATAAAAATAAACTCACACTAAAATTGGTAATTTGGAGTTTTATTGATTGAATAGGGATTATTTTAGATGTGTATGATGAATACAAGCACACCAAAATTCCAAGGATTGCTATTAGTAATATAGTTCATATTTTTGAAAACTCTGAATTTTATATACATTTAAATGCTTGTTTTCTCTTCCTGTATTCCCTCCATGACACTAATAAAGCATTAAAATGAAAAATGCCTTTTATTTAGATTACCATTCAAATTTGTATCTAGTTCTATCTTCCATTCACATTTTCTGTAAAACTCATGAAACTTTCTTAGCCAGAATCTCACAGCAGTTTTAGCAACTTTTCTAAAAAACAAAACAAATAAATAGACAAACAATAAAACTTCACAAATTTTAATGGGGCCATACAAACTCTAAAAGTTGAAAAGACATTTACACTATCTAGTCTATTATCTAGTTTTTAAAATCTGCCAGAGGTTATATGTTTTGCTCTAAGTCACACTGCTGGCTAAATTAGAAACACAGCTAGAGTTCTGGCATTCTGACCATGAATCCAGCACTCCTCCGACTGAATTTGCAGTTCTGGCTTTGAGTCCAAAAAGACTAAGTGATATCTTGGAAATATATCAGATCTGCAGAAATGTGCGTGACTTCAATGAAAATATTTGTTCAGGCTGTGCAGGGTGGCTCACGACTATAGTCCCAGCACTTAAGGAGGCAGAAGCGGGAGGATAGCTTGAGCCCAGGAGTTAGAGACTAGCCTGGGCAACATAGCAAGACCCCAGTCTCCACACAAAGGAAAGCAAAAACAAAACAATAAAATATTTGTTCAGAGGGCAAGGAGCAAAAGATATTGGTAAACTCCTTTCCTTTGGAAATAACATATTAAGTATCTTGTATATTTTCACCCAGCATTGGTATGTCATGATTCATCTGGTGCTAAATAAGTTAGATTGGTGCTAAGATGCACACGGTGAAGCTTAAAGAAAACATGAAAAGGACATCAGGTCTTTCCAGGCAAGGAAGCTCCGTTTCGTCCATGAATGGCGCTTTGAGCCTCTAGATACATTCATCTCTCTCATTGCTTTAGCTACAAAAGGTCTGTTATTGGAGGATTGTCCCAACAGGTGTAAGGCACTGTTTAATGAAGGAGAACAGGAACAACTTGATCACATTCCTCTGCCACTAACACTTTGCTCTGGTTATCTCTGTGGAATTTTTTCCCAAGAAATCCTGTGGCTGAATGTGGAGGAACAGAGGGGAAGGACTTGGGGCTGTTGCGGCAGAGGGGCCCCGCCTCTGCAGGTTTCGCCCACACGATGGAGATGCTGTGCAGCCAGGGGTGACGGTGTCCTGGCTTCCACGCCCACCACCATATTCCCCTGTCCCTTGCAACCTGGTCTTCCTGCTGTGGCTACTGAAGTCTCTTGCCTCCCCGCTCATCGCTGCTCCTCACACACGTGAGGTTTTGGAAGTTGTCATGCTGGGTATTGTTAAGTTGTTGATCCTTCCAAGAGCAGCTGCTGCGCTACCATTTATAAAAGGCCAGGAAGACTCTGGCTCCCTTTGTCCAGCACATTCTGACTGTGGTCAGTCCCAACAGAAACACATGTAGTGAAATGAAGGCCGGGTATGTGGGTCTTTTCCTACGCTGCAAAATGGATTCATTGTTCTGTGGAATTTGAGCCTGACCAGGACAGCAGGACTTAGAAGCCCCAGGACTAAAAATAAACTCCACAGTCTTTCAGATTCACAGGGGTCAGGACAGGAGGAGACCTCGAAGAATCTCATGTTCCAAAGACAAACTCTCCTGCCACCAAATACCCACATTCTCGGAAGTCGAGAGTATTTGGACGTCTCCCAGTGCCAGACTTGCTTGCATTTCACATCTGGGCGTGGTGTTGCCCCAGGGCTAAGATAAACTCATGGTGGGGAAGTCCTGGGACACCAAAGTGTTCAAGAAATATCTTTTCTCATTCAGGAATTATTCCCCTATCAAATCCCGGGAATTATCTTGGGAGTCAGACAGAAATTTAAGTCCCATCATCACGACTGCCTTCACAACCACCACTGCCATAACCGGTCATCCGAATGACTTGCCCAGGGCCACACAGCTGAGACAATCCAGGCCAGGACAACCACGCAGGCCCCTGACTCTGGGCCCTGTGCTCCCTCCTTTTCACATCGTAAGTTAAAGGGACATTCATTATTTTTAGATGATCCAAGGGCGGATGTGTAGGAAGATAGTTGAGAAAATATGCATTAGGCCAAATTTTATAAGTATAAATTGATTAAATAATATAATAAAAATTTAAATATATATTCAGAGATATATATGAGAAAGAGAAACAGAGATGATAGAAATGATGAAGACAGAGACAAGGTAATATGACTCTAGGAGGCCAGGGAAGGTCGCGATCTCAAAACATGACCTCTCAAACTGCTGGCTGCAGGTTGTAATTCAATTATTCATTCAGCAAGAATGTATTTATCAAGTCCTTAAGATTAAAGTGATAAACATGATTCAGTTCCAGCCCTGGAGAAGTTCAACATGTGGAAGGAGCAGAGGCTAGTATTAAGTATCGTGGATGCCTAGAGGAGAAAGAGATGTCTTCTATTTTGGGCATAGACATTGGTGAAAATCCCAACTTTGTCAGTAAAATGTATCATTTTTAAATGTTGTCAATCATTCATCTCTACAGATGGCAATGAAGGACAAAGACTCTGGATGAAGTATAGCAAGAGAAACTACTACAATAGAGCCTTCAAGAAGGAATAAAACTTGGGATATGGGAAAAGATAACATGAGCATAGGAGAGAAAGTGCTGGTTCTCAAAGCAAATTTTATTCATTTGTATGAAGGTCTGACAGGGACGATGAAGATGAGTCATGAAGATAAGGGTGAGTCACCAAGTTTTCAAAGATAACTTTGAAACACATCTCAAGTTTTATAGAAAAACCATACTCTAGTGCAATAATGGAGTCAATAGGTCCCTGGTTCAGCACGGCAGGTCTAAGAGCATACTTAATGTATTCATTAAGTAAACATTTATTGAATAGATGTGATATATCAAGAACATGACCAGCATGAATGTAAAGGGATGAACAAGACATAATAACTGTACTTACAAGATTCAACGTGTGGTGGCCAAGCCAATAGTCTAGGGGCTAAAACTAACGTTCGTTCAATCTAGGACTCCAGGACAAGATGCCCATTAGGGAAAGCAGTTGTGTTTGCCTTCCCACAGTGAAATGTGGTCACACATACAGGACACGGTTCATGTCTCCTAAAGTGGTGATAGATGAAGACTAAGGTTTCTTTGTCTCCATGTTAATGCATCTTCCTGTTAGGCATCTATCACTGCCAGCATCAATTGAATGTTTTCTGAACTTGCCATGTATCCATCAATACTTCTGAGCATTGCCTGCCACTGCCTACTCTTCTTTCACCATTATGTTTCATTATTATGCCCTACATCCTACTCCCTAAAATCCCCTGAGACTTGCTTTCTCTATTTATTGCAACCATGTCACTGCCACCGTCCAAGTCCAGGCCCTAGTCATATGGCTCACACATTATCAGCCACAGCCTTCTAGCTTGCCCCCTCCCTCTGAGTCTCATATCGCCAAATATATCCAAGAAACTATTGCATAAATGATCTTTCTAAACAGCATACCTAATCGTATTTCAGCCCTGATGTAAATTCACCAGAGACCTCTTCTTCTCCTATCTCCTCTCATACACCCTAGCTTGAGTGTCCCGTGCATACTCTCCATCCTAGCACATGGCTTTGTGGACAGACTACTCTGGTCTCATCACCTCCATGCACCATTCTCTCCAGTTTTCCTTCAATATTTGCTGTTCCTTGCTCATTGGCCTTTATACAGGCCATTTACACAACTAGAATGCCCTTTCTTCTCCTTCATCCAGCAGCTGACACCTACTTCTACATCAAATCTAAGAACAGCTCACTTCTTTCAGAAGTTTTTCCCCTACTGGCTAATTTGAATGATTACAGGCTTACATGATATCCAAGTGGATAAGGTTATTGTAAGTTTTCCTCACTGCTTTGCATTTACTGCTTTATTTCTCTGGCTTCCCACTAAATAGTCAAAAAGTAGTTGATAGAGGGAATAAAGGGTAAACGAATGAGAATCTTGTCATCTCTCCTCCCTTGTTTTGTTTTAATTTATTTTCAAATTGGAGAAGGGAAAAAATGATTCCTTAAAAACAAACCAAAAAATGCCCTTAAAAATGAGCAGAGAAATTCTACCCCTCGAATCCCACCCTACTCTAGAAAGCTGAGAAAATGTAAGTGTTCATTGTTTGGAGGAATACTCTCTTCCTTTTCCTGTCTCCAGTGGCTCCTTTTCCTGAAGAAGGTCAATGGACCGCATGGGGCCATTCAAAGCCAGCCAAGGTCACATGGATGGGGTTTGCTGGCTTCATCTCAGAGGATCTCCGGTTGAGTTGAATAAAGTTGCAACTTTATACATTTGGCTCATGCAAAGTCTTTTTAAAATAAGACTCTTCCATCTGAATTTCAAAACTTATGCATATAGGACTTCCCCATTCCCTAAAGACTCTTATTTCTAGCTGAGTTCCAACATCACTTGTGCTCACAGGATGCATAAAACAAATTATCCTTCTGGTCCACACCCTGAATTTCACAGAATTAGACATTTTTCCTGTCTCCTAGGAAGATGCAAAATTTATTACATCCAGTTCTCAGAAACACATCCAGTTAAGCAAGTCATTTTCTTCTTTGTGTCATTCTAATACCCACCGGTACTTCTTGAAGCCTCCAATGAGGCAAATCTTCATAATAACTTTAATAAAATCTTACTACCCCATATTTTCCTCATGCTACTGAGCCATGATAAACTGCAATGTAACTGAGTGAAATGGAGAGTCGGTTGAGGTGGGCATGGTAGGGAGGCATCGATGTGCTTTCTGTGCTCTCTTGTTCAATTATCCTGCAGGGGAATTCTCTAATCACAGCATATTCAGCTTAAATAATAGAAAAATGGAAAACTTTACCTAGAGAGGGTAAGCGAATCATCTCATACAATAATTTTGCTTTATAAATGGAAAAAACCAAACAGAGAAAGTAATCTGTGTGTGACTATAGTCACTGGCAGAGCTAGATGCAGGAGCTTGACTATAAGTATTAATATCACTAATTTGAGAGGTCCAGGAAGATCCTAACATCCTGAAAAAAAAAATGTTCTGGGAGATATGTATGCATAGTAAGGATTTTGGCTTCATCCATTTCAAAAAGCTCAAGACAGTAAAAAATGTTGAGAGTTATATTCAAAGATCCTATAAGGTCAAGGAGTCTCTTATTCTACAAAACATTGTTTGCACCTGTGTTATCTCTAGTATAAGTTCAGAAGAAGAAGAAAAATAAAATTTTCCTTTTTTCCCCCAAACAGCAGTCTTATTTAAATTGAATTTATTTCTTCCTTAGAACTTATAGATAAGCTTTTGCACAAAATAGTTCAAGGGACTTTAAGATTTTCAGTAGATTCACAAGTAGGTTTTATTTCTACCTTCCTTTAAGAAAATACATAGCAGTATTCAAATCTTTGTGACCATCAAATTTTACCATATTGGGAAATTTTTGTCTAACGGTAACTCTATTAAGTGCATTGCCCAGAAGACCACAAAATTCCTAATATACCAGTCCAGATAGACTCATAGCATTCATAGCATTATAGATGAAGCTGAGAGGACCTCAATTCCCATCTAGTGAAAGTCTCCACTGTTAGAAATAACAATGACTTCCAAAGGGGAGTGACTTGGAGAAGAGTATATTGTAGCTAGTGGCCAAGGAGCCCAGGACTCAAAAAAAAAAAAAAAAAAAAAGAGGCCAGGTAGGGGCATTATATGAGTTTTGGGACTCATGATGTTAATGCTTCTTGGTACTCCTTCAACATTGGTAAAACATACAGTAGGCACTAGGTGAGGTTCAGGCATGGACCATGATATCATGGATGGAGAGACGAACAAAGAACTGTTCCTCTCCTTGGACTCATAAATGAATGAGAGAAAATAGGTTTCTTCTAGAATATCTGTTGACATATGAAGTGTCTCAATTTTCAATATGTGTCTCTACAATGACCCAGATGTTCAGAACAACTTTCATTAAACCCTGCTAACTCAGATTCAGTTTGCCCCCAGAGACCATGATAAAGATGAAGACGATGGTTGAGTATATATTATTGGTAACAAGAAACGGTATTTTTATACACTGAAGTCACCTAACATCTCATTTTTTTTATCTTTATAGGTCAAAAGTGCTTTCATCCAGTGGAAATAATGACTTCATATTGCAGAAAAAAGGAAAGATGACATTTGGTTTGCTTTATTAAAGACTTAGTCTATTAATTATAAATGAACCTTTGTACATGGTCACTGAGAGGCAAAGTGTAATGTGACTTTTATGTCCAAGAAAGCATGAAAACATCAACATGACTGTTGGCCCTGTGAGATGGAGGTCTCAAATCTGTAGTCTGGTTAACCCTCTTCCTTTAATGTTGCTTTAATGTTTTCTCTTTATTTAACTATTACTTACGAAGCCTCTTGCACACCAAGTAGTCTGCAGAGGCTAGAAAATCAGAGATGAATAAAACTTGATGCATATCTTCAAAATGCACAGAGAAGGCTGGTTCACAGAGAAGGCTGGAACCAGTGGTGAATCTTTGCACAATGAAGAAGGAGGTGGTCCTACCTGGGAGTGTGCTGGGGAAGTTCTGTGCATGAACGTGTGAGGGCTTCTGTAAGAATCACCACCTGCTCACCAAATCCTACCACATCCTGTAGCTCAGGTGAATTCTCCAAATGTATCTAGGATACCTGGATGATATTGAGGAAAATTATAAAAGAAGGCTGGAAAGCAATTATATATGCAATTGTGTGCTACTCAGATACCTTCTTACATTAGACTCTGGAGTAAATTAACCAGGGGCAGTTTGCAGAACCCCTGATTTGAGATAAAATGTTGTAGCCACTAGCACTGCCCCTCATGCCCCAATTGTGAAAACTTCTCTCATGTTGCAGAAGATGGGAGAGCAGTGTCTGATGGCAGTATGCTATAGGAAGTCAAGCAGGCTGGTATGGTTATAACCAGAAGCCAGGTCACACACAACCAGGTGGTGAATACTCATCAAAACAGGGACAACCAGGGCTTGACACTAAGGAGCCTCTGAGTGGAATAAGAGTAATCATTGCAATCTTACCAAGTTCAGAGGTCAGCACACAGTGATCTTGATTTCAGCTGGAGCTATACGTCATTCAACCAGCCACTGATCATGCCTCATTTTTTCAATGCTGAGAGCAAAGAAATCCTGACCATCATAAAAGACAAGGCCCTATCTCAAGATTTTAAAATCTAGCTTGGATGCCAATCTAGGGAAAAAGTAGTATCTCCCAAACATCCTTTCCCCTTCCTTGAAATCTCTCTTGTTCCTCTTCTGATTCTTGTTTCTTTCTGCCTTTCTATTCTAATGATTTTCCCTAATTTTACACCCAGGAATAATTATTATATTAATAGTTTCTATTGTAATAAAAGCTAACATTTTTCTAAGTGCTTACTTTGCACCACGCTCTTTCTGAAAAGCTTTGAGTATATTGGTCCATTTAATCCCCATAATAAAGTTAGAAACTATTTTAACCAGTCATATATTTTACTTCCAATATGAATCATTTGGAAGTGAAATGACTTGCCTAAAGTCACATAGTGATTAAGCAGGGGAGCTGGCCTTCAGATCCTGCAACCTCACCTTAGAGCTTGATCCCATAGGGACTGCTGTCCTCTCTGCTCACTGCCTTGTCCTCACAGCCCAATTTCGTCACACGTGTGCTACAGCTGACTCCAATAGGAAATCCAGCTTCTCTTTGGCCCATATGATGTTTAAAACACCTCTTAAAGGTTTGGCCTTTTGTGTGACCTCTGCCATTTTTGATGGTCCCAGGAATGGCCGGTATGACTCTCCACTCTGCTTGGCTCAAGGTTGACTTTTCGTGACTCAAGATTGAATCACCAATAATGTCTTTGTGAACTGTCCATAATAAAACTTAGGAGGGTCTTTAGAAAGATGTGGCTTTTATTAGGTTTAAGAATGACAAAATATTAAAATCAGACCTAAATTACTGTTCATGTTATAATTTAAATTTTGGGAAATGTGGTAGGGGCTCTACCATCTAATCTAAACTATTTCTCTCCAATTGAAAGAGGAAACTTTTTGCAATCCCAAATGGCTAATTTCATGATACTACAGAGAGTCTTATGCCTTCTTTTTGTGGATAGACATACAGTAGTGACAATGATGCTGAAAGACTTAGGTCCATCTGAGTTTCAAACACATGGCCAACTAAAATGGGAGAAAACATTTTCTGGGTCCACCTACCCCAGGAAGGGGGCTCATGAATGTGAGAAATGTTTCCGAGAAAATTTGCTAATCAGCAAAGCAACCAAATAGTAGGTGGCCAAACTCTCTGGCAACAAGCCAAATCCCTGGAAAGAATCATTCACACTTAATGCTGGAGAGGTCATCAAGTCCAACCTTCCAAATTTGCACTCTCTTACTCACTATGATCATTTCCTCCTGGATCATAGGAATCTTCTTCTCTAGCTTCAGCTTGAAAAAACAATAGCAGTGAGATGTTGACCAACTCCTATGCCCACCTGCTCTCTTTGTGCCTTTAGTTGTTGAAGTATTTATCCATCAATAACTACATATAATAGGTGATATATAGATGAAATCCGACTCTCTAAGGATTCCATCTGCTTGTGATGATGGGTACGTCACACCTCCCTGTATTTTCTGCAAGACAGGCATTCACTTTGTCAAACAGTCCTTCCTACCATGTTATGTCTAAAAGGATCTCACCAGGGCTGCTATGCTGTCATCTTTAACTTCATAAGCTCTTCTGTTATGCATCTTCTACCAGTTTGTAAGGCCTCTGGAGACAAATAGCAGACCCTCGGTTTCTTTCTGTTACCTACAGTGCCCAGCAAAAAGTTTGCCTTGACAGATTTGTCTTAAAACCAACACGGTAGAGTAAGAAGTTCCCTATCTCAAGATCTAGATGCTAATTCTGACTCTAGCTCTGGATGGATAGCTATGAGTAAGTCTCTTGCATTTCTTGACTTTGTATAATATTTCAAAGACTAGAAAAGCAATGAAGATTGGAAAAGTAAGAGACTTACCCACAGATTTTAATGGTAGAAAAGGAGATGATGAAGACAGTTATGTTAAATGTTCTCTGTGAACAAATTTCAGGGTCATTGAAGTCGGTAGATGTGAAGTCTGGTTTTTAATCTTACATCTGCAACTTACTGACTGCAAATAAAATGACAATCTCCCTGAATCTCATTTTCCTCAGTTTTAAAATCAAAGTATTTGTAGCATTTATGACACGAGATTGTTTTGAAGACTAATTACATGAGATAACATATATAATGGGCTTAGCATAATACCTGGCATATAGTAAAATGTTCAATAAATGTTAGCTATTTTAAGACCTTTAAGATGTGGAAGCTAAGAAGCATTCTCGTAAACAGTTCTTGCCAGATGGTTTCCTGACTCTGGGTTTGGCTGTTTCTTGGGAATGTGTTCGGTGAAAAAAAAAATTCAACAAATCAGTTAACAAACATTCACCAATACTTTCTACATGCAACAGAATGCTTCAGGCACTGTGCATGATCCAACAAGAATAAGACATCCTCTCCCTGGAAGAGATAATTTAATTAAGAAGATAAAGCAACACATGAAAACAAAACTAAAAATTCAAAGTAATAATGGATTCTCAATGGGTAATACATGCTCTGTTTCCTAAAGGACCACATGCTCTGTTTCCTAAAGGAGCACACTCTTTCCAGCCCGGATTGTTAGGAAGAGCTCCTCAGGGGAGGGGAGGTTTAAGTTGACATTATTTCCACCTCCACAGTAATAATACATTGTCTTCTCAATTCCACCAAAATAAAATCAAAATAAAGACAATACAAGCTCCTTCTTCTGGATGTCTTCTCTTAGTAAATAGCATCATCACTTACCTAGAATTCCAAGGAGAAGGGCTTCCCAAAACCCTCTTTCCCTCAACTACCATGTCTATTTGATCATGAACATCTTCAGCACCTAGAGCTGAAAAATACTCAAATCTGGGTCCTTCTTCTGAAATCCACTGTGCCAATTGAGGTTCCATTGCTACTGGGTCTCTGATATTTCTTCATCATTCCCTTTCTTTTACTTCCCCGTCTCCCCAGTCCATTTGTTCAGGTGATGACCATTGTGGTCTTTTCCCCAAGGAATGAAGGCTACAGGACAATGACTGTTGTGCCTCCCTCTTGACATCTGGAGGATGGATGGTTTTATCCCAGTCATACCACAGCTGTGAACTGTCCTCTGATTATCACGCTCTTTCTAATCTCCATGGTTTCTCACACCAGGAAGCCCTTTTCTCCTATTTCTCCATTAAGAACACCCACCATCCTGTATCTTAAAAGACACGTAAGAGGTATCACATCCTTCAGAATTCCATTCAGTGTTTCCCCTTCCAGGAACCCTGTGCTGACACCGTCCCAGTGTGAATCAGGTACTCCTCCTCTGAGCTAGTCCAGCTCCGTGGGCTGAGCTCAGGGATTCCTCCTAATTATACTGAAATCATCTATGTCTATCTGACTTGTCCACAGATAGAGCTTCTTCTTCTTTTTTTTGTTAAAGGAAAAAAAAGAAGACAAATCATGGTTCATCTATTTCTGTGTCTCTTGCGCACAGCATAACACAGTCTTGAGAAATATTGGTTGAAAGTGAGTGAATGTACCTATGTGACCTTTGAAAGATAAATAAAATTTGATTAAATTTGCCAAATACAAGAAGTCTCTACAAGAAAAAGGCATGGTAAAGATGCAAAGATGGCTAGATGTCTCTAGTGATATTAAGCAATATCTATCCCAAAATAGAGAGCCTCATCAGCCAAGTGATTTGCCTTCAAAACTGTATAAATACCAAGAAACGCTGAACCTAGGTCTCCCTGCTTTGCTTAACTGAGAGTAAAGTTGCTTATCTTTTTTATTATTAATCCATGTTGAATGTTCTTCTCTTCCACCTCAGCCCCTCACAGCTCCTCTAAAAGCCTAGATCTTGGTGTGGAGTCCCCGATATGTATAGTGGCTCCTTGCACTGTTGATATTATAATGGAGTTGTGGGGGAGTGGGAGGGTGTGCAACAGAATGCAGCAATGATTTGAACATCCCTTTATCCTTTTCCATCTCATAAAGAACATTTTTCGGTATACAAATATGATAATCCTATCTACTGAGCAAAGCGGAAGCATTTTCAATGCTGCACAAATTAAGAAAGAGAATCCTTTGAAAGAAGTCTGTTTTTCAGGGTAAAAGTAAGACAACTAGCTACTGCCCAGGAAAAAAATATATATCTGTAGTAGTTTTTAATATTGGTTTGATGAGATCTAGGTTATAAACAGGTCTGGTGCCATGTAATTTGCAACATAATTTCACTGTCTGTTTATCTATCCATCCGTCCACCCATTCATATGTATATAACATAGGCAGGAAATCTGGTGTCTGTTGCTAGTTCATAAATCAGTGTCTGCTCTCAACAACATCTGAATACAAATGTGATTAAATTTGATACCATGCCCATTTTTCATTTATCAGATTTTAGAATGTGATGCCGTGGCAGCTGTCCTATGGTAATGTGTTTTGCATTTAACCCCCTGAGTTCCAACTGCTTTCAACATATGAAGCCCTTGCAGAGACATTAGAAATTCACAGAACAAGACACCTACTCTGCCTATCACAGAGAAAGTTTTCCTCAGCATATCAAGGAACGAAGAGAGGGGAAAGAGCTGGAAATAACATTAGAAAATTGAAGGAAACCTCAGAATTGCTGTGTTTCTCACCTGCAGAAGACCTTAGAGATAGTCTAGCCCTGTGCTTCACAAAGTTTTCTGTCTACACATCACATGGGGCTCTTGTTAAAGAACAGATGTGGGTTCAGTAGGTCTGGGCTGGGCCTGGGATTCTGCATTTTAATCCAGTTAATCTAGTTGATCTACTATTTCCTAAATTTAATAATCATCTGATTGACTGATGTACTTAAGTGTCCTCCCCAGCATCGTGACTCAGATTTTCCTGGAAAACGGGCCTTGAGAACAAGGAAGCGTACCTGGAACTTTTAACAACCAACTCACACAACTGACCAAGTTTGGGAAACGTTGAAAACTGAGGCCAAAAGGAAAAGTGAGTTGCTAAAGTTGAAACTGGAACACAGAATCTCAAGCAAGTGCTTTTGCTGCCGCACTAGTCTCAATGGAAATGAGACAACTAGAATAGAGGTTGGAGAACAATTCACAATACTCACAACAAGTTCCAGAAAGTGGACTCTAACAGAAGGGATTATTTAGAGTTAGTGCTGGAGAACAGTCCCGGATTAGCAAAACAGGTCCTAGAAAACAACATACCCAGATGTTTTGTGAGGCATACAAACCAGGCCAGACTAAAACACTGGCCATAAGGTATCTTTTCTGACAACCTAGCTGCTACTGAGGAAGCCCGTTTTCCTTGTCTTTCCCTTCATTTGCCTTCTAAGACCCTATTTACCAAAAAAAAAAAAAAAATCAACTCCTTCTTCTGGAAGCTGTATTCTATAGAAAAGAGCCCCTTAGTGGCTTCCCAAGATCCACTATGGCTTCCCAAAAGCTTCCTGATGTTACCAGCACGGACAAGCATATTTTCACTCCACCCATGATTCCTAGATCACTCCAGACCTGCGGAAGCATCACGTTCCTACATGGATTGTTTAACAAGGAAGATAATTTTGGAAATGTACCTGTCATTGTTCTTTTCTAGGTGAGTGATGGTCATCCAGGGGAGCTTGGATCACTGAGGTTTACAGGTGAACGGCAAACTCCTAAACATCAGTGCATACATTTAGGATGATACTGAGTAAACCAAATAAGCATTGTGTATACCTCAATTTCCTTTTGGGGAAATAGCAAACACATTTACTGCTCACCTTAAAGGATATAATTTTTTTTAAAAAATTACAATACTTAAAAAATGTGAAACTACAGAAACAACATACCCAACTTGCAGAACACTTGCTAGGAAATAATAACCAGTTAGACATCAACATTTTTGCTTTTGTTTTTTTCAAATTAGCGAATGGTGTTTATATACCTTTAGTGGGCTGCAGAAGGCAAAATGCATGCCATGTAATAGGCTTGGACGTGTAGCTACCACCTTAGCAAAAGGCTTCTGTTCAAGATGGTGAGAGTGCCTGGGTCTTCTTTTCACACAAGGATGTCTACAGAGGTAAGCTGCTATGTCTTTCTCCATAACTACTTGGCATATGCATCAAGAGTCTCAGAAATGCTCAACGACTGGGGAACTTCTGGAAACCTGGCTTAAAGGAATAATTAGCAATGCACGAAAGAGATCCAAAATACCATCTCATTTACAAAAGAAAACTTTTGCATTACGCAAACATCTAAACACAAAGAAATGGCTACATAAATCATGAGATTCATCTCAGGTAGGGCATCATTTAGATTTAAATGACCATATAACATATAGGGTTATGTAGTTATTTAAAAATGTGGTGTGAGAAAATATGGAGTTTCTCACTTTGTTAAGTGGAATAAAAATAAGATCGCATAAACATAACTTAAGTACTTAAGTAGTCAGAAAAAAGGGAAATTAGGATTACATATATAAAATATTTTTTCATCAGTCAAATGGAGAAAATAATGCCTATATTCTAGGGCAGTTT